TGATGGAAGTTAATGTCTCAAAAGCTACTATGGCGCTTACATCCACCCGAATGTACCCTTACAGACACACACGTGCACACTTGCCCACTTGCACATGTGTACACTGCTAGCTTGGCTTCAATTGTAGGGGTCACAACAGGTTGTATATCACTTAGTGCTTCAAAGGAGCTTGACTTTAATAGGGCCGGCCCTTTGACCCCGAGGTGAATAGCTGAATTCCTGTGTTTGCACGTAAAGAAGAATAAACACAAAGCCACACAACAGCAACGTTTACTTAGGAATCCTCACCTGCACCCAGGAAATGACACATATTTCCAGCCACTTTTGCCCATTTGCTGTCTTTCCTGTGCACGCTGTGAAGATGCTCCGGGCTATCTGATAGCGCTCGTCGCAGCAACTTAAGGAGCGTTGCCAAAACTCCCAAATTAAAAACGCCACTCAAACGTTGCTTTCGCAGTCAACAGGATAATCAAAGCGCAGTGGAAATTTAAAGGGACGTTCCTTTCTCTCTCTCTCCGATTGAACAGCTTCAAAGGACATCACAACATGATTGCCTTGGCTAGCAAACTAATCCTGGTCTCCAGCATGAGCCAAAGGATCATCTCCACACAAATCAGACAAGACTTTCTGATCAAAGAAAGAGCCCTCAATGTCGGCTCACATGCTCCGCGAAAGCACGGCCCCGGCGGTCAATTACCAGCTCCATCCATTCCGCCGTGTAATATCTAGGTTAAAAATGGTAACAAAGCCTCAAAGGGGAACGTGGTTATTAGGGATAATGAGTGGCATCATTACTTTCTTACGGAAAGCAACGGTCCAAAGAGCTCCTTTCTTGTAATCAAGATGGTGTAAATGCAAACAGAAGCAAGAGATTTGAACTTCTGTGTTGGAAAAAACAACCCAAAGGATAAAAGGCTCCGAATGTTGGTGGATCCCACACTGCCGCTGAGTGCTTGTGAGCTACTTGTTAAGTCATTAATGGAAAAAACACTGGAAAACCATGCCAGCCATGCCACAGCAAAACCGCCACGTTAATACTCACTGTATTTATTTCATCAAGGCCCCCCAAGTTCTGCTGCATCCAGTACCAGATATGAAAGGATTCAAGGCTCCTGTGAATCCCAGAATCCTTTCATGTCTAGTATTATAAACAGCCAAAGTGGTTTGCATCATAATGTGTGGCCTAAACCCATTTCTTTTATGGAAGCACCTTTTGGGCATGCAGCCATAATGCCTTCACAGGATTAACTTGACCAGTTCCAACACACACAGAGATAAACCCTGCGAGGGTGTTTCACCTTGAAACGTCCCACTTCGGTGCACTGATACATGCTGTAAAATTTAATAGGGGAAAATCTGACGATGGTGCCCGAAAAACTTAGAAGAAGGAGAAAAGCTTTATTTCTGTAAGAGACACACAGAAACCTAGAAAAAGGGGTGACTGATGTCCTCTGTTGAGGGGTCAAACACAGGAGGTAACAAGAATTTTTCCTCATGCCATCTGCTGGGCCTCTCGTAGGGATAACTGTAAGTCATGCAATCACCACCAAATGGCACAATTCAGTTTATTACTGCCCACTTCATCTATTATGATTTGTCTGTTGAATGATACCGAGCCAGGAATTTCTTCAGTGCGGGTCAATTTATTTCTCCCTCCGTGCTTTAGACCAACAGGAGGAATACCGAGCACAGCATCAAAGGGCGCATAAATAAACGCATGTCATATTTTTCCTTTTCACGTTAACCCTCTATTGCATGAATTATTACTTCAATATGATGAATGTTTTATTGTTTTTTTATTTAAAATTGCTTAAATAATGGAAATATTAAAAAAAAAAATATATATATATATATATATATATATATATTGCCATATGGCAACAATACGCAATTATAGCACAGCACCATAAATCTAAAAAGAAAGCAGCATAAAAACTAATTTTTCTCATAATTTTATTGAAAACAAGACCAAACAAATCCAACTTATATTTAGTAAAATGTATGTCCTAATATTTACAAATATTGGAAATTAATACAATTTTAATTGGTATATGGATTGTATGGTAATAACAACATCATAATAATAATTCCTGGTCATGTGATGTCATAAAGTATTTGTCTTTTTGAAGTAAATGATTTTCCACAATTTAATAGGAAAACACAGATATTATTTTGCTGCTTTTTAGTACAATGTAGATAATGTAATTGTTGCCGTATGGCAACACTGTGCAGTAGAGGGTTAAGATTGAAAGTGAACAGGAAACTCCTGATGGAACAGGTTGTTTTACATACCATAAAAGGCTTTAAATGACCCAACATTTCCCATTTCTTTGTCCCTTAGAATTAAACAGACTGTCTTCCTTACTGTGCCTTTAAGACTGGCCGCCCTGTATTATGCCTCAATTAAAGGGCGTCCCAGGCTGAAACACTCCTTATAACTTCAGTATGAATGGGCTGAATAGGTGGATATATGTAAGTACAGTAATGAATTCAAAACAGTCTGGTTTTGCAGCTTAGCTTCCCTATATGGCCTGAGGAGTGAACGGTACACTTGTAAACTTTCACAATGTTTACATACAGCATCAAACTCTTTTATTTAAAAAAGGGAGGTTATCCATGATAAGGGCCCTTTCAAATATCCCTCACCATGGAAGGACATCACTTAGATAGACACTGACGGCTTCATAAAGCATGACTATATCGATTACAATGGCCTGGTCTCACCCCCTTTCAGATATTATTGATAGATATGCACGTCCAGGGGGATCCCTGCACCTAATTACAGCCAAGCACATGTAAATTGTCCCGTTAAACGGGTTCGACCTTGGCAAGACTGGGTCTTGAACCTGCTCACGCAGAACACTGACATCCATCTGTCTCCGCGCACCAGTAACAGGAACCGATTCCAACGATGTTTCCCAATGAACTGTTCCTGGCAGTGAGTGACTGCTAGTAAAACAAGAAGCAGCATGTTCTCATAATTCATCAAGTTCCTTTAATCTTCGGCTTTGAAATACTGCTTACTCTGCTTAACAGCCACACTGGGCAGTGCGAAGTCTTTTGAAAATATCAAACAAGGGCTGTGTTATCAGTCCCGACATGCATATGTGCACTCAGGCTCTTCTTTTATTCCCTTTTTTGAGCAATTCCTGTGCTCGGTGAAGAGAAGAAAGGAGCAGATGTGGCCAAAGACTGCCTCTCCAGCTGCTAATTGCAAGAGACGGTTTTTAACAAACAAATGCCAGACAAAGAGGGATGAATTCAAAATGTGCTGCTTGGATCTCAGATTGTCCTCGGTGGACTGGGTTCCACAACGGGGAGTGACAATGGGTTTGTGTACTCAGAGATCAGCCTGCAAGGATCTCAGGGATATGCCCCTTTGTGCTCGCTCACAGCCTCACCCAGCTCTGCCTTTGTGAGGATTTGCATTTCTATGGCTTGCAATCACAAGTCATAGCTTGCAAACAAATTGCCTATAATTTGACTGTCTTGTACTAATCTTGAGAAAAAAACACTTTTGCTCAGTACAGAGCTGGAAAGGCTCATAACAATCACAGAATAAAATAATAAAGGCGCCAAAAAGGGCTCAGTTCCCAGCCTTCCGATGGATGACTCTTTAAGAAGACACAGTCAGTGAGATATGCACGTGTTAATAACTTTTTAAAGTTGGAAGTTGGAAGTGGGAACTGGACATCCAAGCCAAGAACCACTCAGGAACCTTTAGCTCTAATAGCGGAAGACCACATTCAATCAAACTGGTGACCATGCTTTAAGGTAAAAAGAAAAACTGCATTTGAATTAGCTTCCATCCATCGTTTCATGTTTGTTGGCACAAAGCCATGAAATCAAGCGCCCAAGGTCAAAAAAAGGTGGGAAGAAAAAAAAAATCGATGGAGGTGAAAAATGAGTGGAGTCTAGCCTGTAAAAGGAGATGCGCTCGCCATCACGTAGACGTTCTCCCGTTTGACCCCGTGCAGCTGTCTAGGCCGGCCAGGCTCATTAGACTGAGCCGCTGGGGGCAGGTCCGCTCAAGCCCGGGGAGCAAGGCTTCACATCACTCTGTTTGTTTACAACATTAGAGGTCGGCAGGGTGGTATTGATTGGGAAATGTACTTTCAAACAGCAGTTTATTAAAAGACACCCAGCAGTGGGCCTAAAGGGGGGGCTGCTGTTAAAAGTCTCTGAGGAAAGGAACTGCGAGGCGGCGGGGGTCTAAAGGCAGGTGCATCTAGAGTCTATCGCAGTTAGAGTTCTACGCCTGAGTCATGTGGTTACTTTCCTTGGTGATTTATCAGTTTCACGAGAAGCTGGTTCTGCAGAAACATGCAACGAAGAGGGAACAGCAGAGGCAAGTCTGACTGCTGCTTTACTCATATATTAGAACAGCCCCTCTTTAAAGAGTCACCTGAACACCTTCAATGCAACTGCATTGGCAGAATAAATGAAAACCTACCAAAAAACCTCTTTACCAACTATCTTTGGTCTACGTACATGTCTGATAGGCAAATGCAAATAATATCTAAGGTTTTAATCAGAGAGAACTCGTGTGACACTGCTTTCACCTCAATATGGAGAAAATAACCCAAGATCCAAACGCTCAACATCTCAATATCTTCCCCAAATCCTGTTCTTTCTACTCATGGTCATCTTGTTTCTACCTGAGCTTCCAAATCATAAGGGTGACTATCAACAGCACATTGTAATCTAGTGCCACATCGCTGTCGCCACCTGCCGGCAGCACGTGGTACTGCAGCCTCCACAGAGACTGGGCTTTCCACTTCGGCTATTCATTTCAATGAATTTCAATTTGTCCGAACATTTCCTAACAAGTCCAATTCAGCAGCACATGAAGGATTTGGCTTCATTTGGGACAGAAAACATGTCATTCTGAAGAAGAAAGGACCGGCAAAGACGCGTTTCATTAACAGTTTATGCACAATTGTTCATATTCATACGGTTTTGTTGTTTCATTGAGGACGTAATCTACATAATCTACTTACTTGATGCGTTCATGATAAGCAGCAGGAGTATCCAAAAACTCGCCAGCATCGCCATACTTTATGCCTTTTTTTGCACCCAAATATCCGAGATTCCGAGATCCGTGGACAATCTCCTGGACAATCAATTCAGACCGATTCGGTGAGGCATACAAACTTCAGCACGATCAGCCCCCCAAGTCCAAAAATCCCCTCAGAATCAGAGCGGTCGGAGAGAAATGCAGTGCCTGCGCGCTCAGCGGGGGGAGTAACGTTAGCGCTTCGAGCACTTTCGCTTCTTTCCCAGCGACTCCGAATAGCCGTAGTTGAGTTTTTGTGGATGGCCAGGTAGAGCGCTTCACTCCGCCTCGACTGGACACATAAACCCCCACACAGTGGTGCACACGCGCGTCGAACGGCTACTTCTGTCCAGAAGTGGCGAGGCAGACAGTGTCTGGAGAGGAGGAGAGAGGGCAGTTCGGGTGGGTTCAGGTGGAGAGATCCAGGTCTTTAGCAGCAGGCGATGAAGATGAAGCCCAGGCGCTGCATCCAGTAGGCAGGCGGGCGGGCAGGCGGGCGGGCAGCGCTGTTCTGCCCCTCCTCCGAGTGGAAGTGGCGGGAGGAGCTCTATGCTTAAACTTCCCCCCCCCCACCAGAGAGACCCACTCACTGCGAGCTCGCCTTGATAACTGCGGTCGCCTCTGCGCTCCACCAACTCCTGCGCCTCTGGGTCCACCACTGAACTTTGTTTCGCCCACGCAGCAGCCCCCCCAACTTGGAGACGTTTGGCTACAGGGTTGAGTTTTGCAGGGTGGCTGCAGGGGTCGGCGGTTTTGCCATGAAAAAGGGACCTAGATGGTGGGTTTCACCCACTGTGGTGGGGATCCAGGGTTTATTCAGTCTGCTAAAGCAACGCTAAGCAAATGTGGACTGTTGCAAAGAGAGAGAGAGAGAGAGAGAGAGAGAGAGAGAGAGAGAGAGAGATCCGAATCGGATGACGTGAGATAAAGGAGGGGCTTTGGCTGTCATGCAAAGCTGGTAGGAGAAGACTGATCAGACATGGCGCTCGAGTTGGCTGAGGTGAGCTTAAAGATACAGCGAGTGGACTTGTTTCCAAGCAAGTTCAGAACTTTGTCACAGTTTCTGGCCGAGGCTAGTTTTGTTCTTGGTAAGCTTGTTGCAGTTTGATACATGACAACACATACATTTAAAATAAACGACTCATTTTAGCAAATCGCTGAAAACCTCGTATCTCCAAAATGGTAACTTTACAGGAGAAGGAAAAAACCTACTTTACTTTTAATGTAAGTCAATGGAACCAGACTTTTTCCCCCCCCCCAAGTCATTTTGGGCCGTTTCTTTTGGTCCATTCATCATGAAATGTACACACAATGTAAAGAGTAACAGGCATAATTATGCTAAAAACTGAAAAATGACAAAAATGGAGATACAAGGTTTTCTTCCGCTAACAGCGACATGGATTTACCTGATATCCAGCCTATATTAGTCACATTTGGACTTACATGTGACATATACGCCAACTTATTTAAAACTGCCCTTATTTAAAACTGGGGTATGCATTTCAGTCATTTATCAAAAATATATAAATATATGTGTGTAACATATTTATAACAGTATAAGAAAGCATTATTAATATATGGATGACAAGTAATGCTTGTATATGTTAGCTTCATGTTATATAATATAAGATTTTATTGCAAGAATGATTTTGATTTGTTGCTTTAAAAACATCTTTCGGTTTTTATCAGACATACATAGACAGACAGTATATATGTGACCCATATATTATGCATATCAGTGTTCATCCGTCTATCAGACACATATGTATGATCCACATATTATGCATGTATGTCCAATTTTTGATACTTATATATGTACATATATTTTAAAATATATGTCTCACACTTTATAATATATATGTGCATGTAGGGCCATATGTTGTTTTTGCTACAGGTTTATGTCATGCTATTAGACCAATATAGGCTAAAACATACAGTGTTAGCCTATAATTGATACTTAGTTTATATGCTGTTGTAGCCTAGAATTAGGGTATTATGCCAGGCTATATTACTGATTTTCAAATTTATGCATGATTAAATGGTTAAGGTGTAAAAAAGTCATTTAGAGTTTAGTTGGAAGTTCTGGAGAAGCTTAGAGAGTCATATTTTTTTGTTACAGTGGTGGTGATATGAAGTAGACTTCTGTAGAGTTTAATGTCGCTAAAATAAACTCACAGAAAGTTATTTAATGAAATGGGTACAAATACACTGCCTTAGTTTTACAATAGTTTTGAGATAATTTTTTAACCCACTGTGATGGAGAGGTTCATGCAGGATGTTATAAGTTCCCAGCAAACACTTATTTTTATCGCTTTACAACTTTTGTTTTACCATTATCAATATTACATATACACCTAAAAACTTGGAAGACACATGTAGTTTCAGTGGTTTTGGAATCCTTGGAATCCTTGGTTTCTATCACCACCACTGTGAAGAAATCCAAGTCGGTAAGCTTCTCTGCAGTGGACCATTTCACATCAAAACACTTGTTTACATCTGAGCAACTGAAAAAAACAGTTGAATTTCCTTTAAATCATTTCATTATAATCATCTTTGTATTTAACAACTGATGTAACCTCAGCTTTAAAATGTTTTCAATCTACTTCCATGTTTTGGGTGTTCGTAAGTAAGACGTTTCATGCTCAAGCCTAGTATGATGAGGCTTAACGGTTGACGGTGAAACACTGGCTCCAGCCCTGGAGGCTCCACCTCCGCCTTGTGTTTGCACCACACCTTAGTCATGTCAGCTGATCAACGCCTTGTTGAGCTTATTCAAATGTGTTAAAGAGGAAAGCACAGGGCTGTGGTGTGTGGATGAGCCAGAGTGCTGGGGTTGGGAAACACGTTCTGTGATGATGGCATTTCACAATTTCAGCCTCAAACACACATTAATTTATTTATTTTTTATATATATATATATTTTTTTTTGGAGATGAGTTTGGGACAGTGTTGAGGATTTGGTGTCATGATCTCACTGGTGATGAGGAGAAAGCATAACACCTCCCTCTGCTGGTCACCTTTACAGTGGGTGAGGTTTCAGAGGGCTTCCTGGGGGAGGTGTCTGTGTGAGGTGTTGGATTACCATTTGTTTAGCCTATTGTAGATTTAGCAGTTGTTGCTTTAGTGTTGATGCTAATTATTTGGATAAATATTTGTCAAAAGTTGTTCCTCCTTTCATTACAACTGAAGCTTCACATTGGTGTGTAATCTGTTAAGTGTTTATAAGACCTCAGATCGATTTTGGCAGATGTCAGCTAAAGCTAACTGTTTTGAAACTTAACAAATCAAATAAATACAGCCACTTCAGTGCTCCCTCCAAAGGTCTTCCCCCCAAAACATGCTGCATAGGCTAGAACTGCTTAAATGTTGGTGCTCACTCATTTGGTAATGGATTTACACAAATAAAACGACACAAACGGACATTGACACAGCAAATTAACTAGCAGACATCAACTAACAGAAGGGCTAACTAAGGTTAGGCTTGTTGGACTGAGTTCCTTGGAGGCCACAGCCCATCTCCTTAGCTTTAGGTTAGCTACTATTTCTAGAATTCTCTTAGCTTGTGCTATACAGTTAACCCCTCAAAACCGCAGGCTTATTACATACTACGGTTTATTATTCCATAACTACAGGGACTTCAATGCAAACTGGCTGAGCTATTCTTAGGCTACAGCAGCATGTAATAAAACTGTGGGCCTGCTAATGGGCCCTGGCTACTTAATAGGGTTAACTCAGGGTAGGGCTCATGATCCCATGCATTTGGAAAGACAAGTGAATAGCAAAAATATTGCAAACTATTTCTTCACATTTTTAAACTTGCTTAGCTTTATAGACTGTGCTGAACAGATCATGAGCCATTCCAGTTTCCTGCTGGATGCTGCAGGGCTCTGTACAGTCAGTAATTTAATGTGTACTGGATAGTATATGCTGTGTTAGGCCTGTATGCACATCCATATATAAACCCAGTTATAAACAGTGTACATTAACCGCTGAGGTCAGTCATGAACAATACACGTAGGTGGGGCAGCGTCCTACTCTGAACAGGAGTGACTAAAATGTATGTGAGTCAAACTTTTGATAACTGGTTGTGGGGAGAAGTTTGACTTATTCACATTTCAGCTGCAAAATCCACCAAATTTGGCAGGAAGCTGCCTAATTTGGTAATAGTGCTTAGCCTAGCATTGGAAAGCCACATTAATGTCTTATTTTTACTCTGTCTTTTAAATTCTGATTAGCAGCATAAACCGTTATAGGAACTGACAGAATTCACAATTTTGTTGTCTTTGCTGTAATTTCTCTGAAGGACTAACCAGCTGTCTCAATGGATCTAAATGGGGTTGCATTGATACCGTATCAGTATCGGCACCGATACTGGCACTAGCAATGGGGATAACCGACAACACGAAACAATTTCTGATGCATGCATATTTGCTAGTAGATTGAACTTAACAAAATGGTGGTTTAACACGCAGCAGTAACAATGCTTATGGCCAAATCTGTAATACGATTATTTCATAGAGTTATAGTAGCAGGTGATGCAACATTTGGAATTCTTCCTAAACTATTGGTTTCACCAATATATCACAAATACACCAGATAACGCAACATGCATACAGTGAGAAACATGCTAACGCTATCAGTTTTCCTTAGCGGCTGAGCCAGGCTTCTTTCAGTAATCCCTTATCATCTGCTGTGTAGTCAGTTACAGTCTGAATTATTGTTAGTTCAGGTTGTAATTAAGGGAGCGAATGTAAGGGAGACAAATGGAAGGAACCGCTGATTTCTTGGGGTAATGCTAGCCTTTATTCTTGGCTTAGTCTTTAGCATAGCAGCCTACTAGCTGGACATGTCTGTCCACTGGCCCTGCCTGTGGTGCGTCACTGTCTGTCAGGTGCCTCATGCAGCAGTGGGGTCTCGCGACTCTACTGTCAGCGAGAATGACTAATATTTACTAAACGCCAGCAGAGTCTGACACTCAGAGATGTAAGTGTGGGTGAACAGGATGCACACGAGACAAATGACTTGAGAAATTCAGATAAGAAACAACATTCAGCAACGCTTTTGCCAAGACACAGAAACTGCTGCACTTTACATGTACAGACTACAGGTTTATCTGTATATTGAACTGTTTTGTACTATTTTGTACAATTAAATATTTCACATTTACTACAGTTGTATTCTTTATTACATAACAGTAAATACTAATAAAATACACAAACCTTGAGCATAAAAACACATTCTTTATTGCTTATTGTTTTGATCTTTCATTCAAAATGTTAACATAAATCTAACCTTTTTTTGAACTATAATGATTGAAAAAAACTAAATCTTATCAGGAATTAAATATTTTTCTCAAATCTGTGTGTGCCACAATTATTGGCACCCTTTCATTACTACTTTGTGCAGCCTCCCTTTGCAAAGACAACAGCTCTGAGTCTCTCCTATAATGCCT